TGAGTTAAATATAGTTATTTATTTTATTTTTTATCAAACAGGGTGAAAAACGCGAAACAATTATACGTGTCAAGTATCCACTCCCTCCGTTAACACAAGGACTCCCCCCGGCAAAGTATGGCATCTTTACGCCAAATTATATTACATATTACGATGATTTGGAGTCTGACTTACGAGGTATTAGTTGTGTGAACCATAAATTATAAGCTAAGTAAATGTCTTTTATTTCTTGTTAGTTTATAAAAGCTTATACGTTGGACTGTAAGCTGGTAACGTTTTAAAAGCATGAAGCTAAAAAGCTTTTAATATATACCTGTCGGTGGCTCACTCAACCCGTCGTTTTCGCCAGAATCGTATGGATCACCGTCCAGTGCCAAGTTATCCATGACCAACATTAAATCGAATTCATCTGGTTCCCCAACTTTCGCTTTTTCATAAAAGCTTCCAAAAGGAAGGATTTGCAGCTCGGCGAACCGATCATGTTGGTCCCTCCTTTTCACGTCTGCAACAATTGCATCCACGATGGGTTGCGAAGCTTTGAGAGCTACTTTTTTTTGGTCTTGTCGGAACTTAACGTAATCTTCGGTAAATTTGTTTAAGAGGCTATTCAAGGTGGCCTTTCTATCCATTTCTCCGCCAAGTCCCTTGCTTTGAATCGTTTGAATGCTTTAAAATTCCTGGCTCCCGAATGAAAAATGCTTGCGACAGCGCTTTCTACTGTGATTAGAACTTCCGGTAGTTTTCTGGGAAAATTAGCATGTGCGTCAGACTTCCTGTAAGGTCTGTAAGTAGATAAATAATGAATCCGCAGTACTTTTAAGGATTAAAATAAGAAGCTGTGAAAATGAAAGAACAAATTGCTAATGGGATTGACCGTATTTAGGGGGAACTTTTAGCACAAATCCTTTTCATTCAATTCTCGGCCTTTGCACAAATATCACATAAAAGCGCCTATATATCTTTCTGGAAATCTCACAAAAATCTAACTATCACAAAAACAATTCCAAGATATCTCGAAAAACCCCTCTAAATATCCCTCCCGACCAGTTCTTCCTCAAAGTAACGTTTTCGCTGATTTCAGTGATTTTTGTCGGTATCTCCACAGTAATCACAGTGGAAATCCTCATTCGAAAACACCTTTTCTCCAAAAAATATTATATAAGTTAATACATGTACTTTCAATTCCCGTCATCATAATCCCACGTGAAACACTGCCAAATGGTTTCTCCGCCATATTGCCGAAGCAGTGTTTAGCTGACGTCAGCAAGAATCGGCACATACTTGCTAATTGGCTGTTCATAGAGGCTTCAGTCTGAAAACCAAAACTCATTCAATACATTCACCTGACATGCCGACTGCACTTTAAAGTTTTCTTTTACAAAAAAAAAAAAAAAATTCAAGGGTATTTCAATTTTTAATTTTCAAGACTCAGTAATTGTTTAAGGACTTTTCAAGGCCTGTGCAAATCATGTGATAATTTTGGAAATCAAATATACAAGAAATACATAGATCAGAACTCCAAAATTGATAATTTTGTTATTAACAATAACAAGAATTTTTAACGAATTCTGAATTCTATTTTTTCTTTTGATTTTTGCTATTTTTGAATTTGTAATTGTAGTAGTTTTGCAGATCTTAAGGATCTTAATGAGAACTACTGGTTTTTCCAGTAATTGTGCAATCCAATTAAGTCATTATCATCATCATCATTACTATCATTATTTTCATCATTATTAAACTAAAGTTTCTGAAGTTCTTTTAGCCATAAGACCTACATACTTGTTGTAAGAATATTAACTCTACAAGCAATCACACTAAGGTTACTTTAACATGACACTACTATAATCACAGCTAAAAGTACAGGCATAAACCTTGCCGATGGACTAACTTCATTCATGGATTTTAATTGATATCATAGTAAAGAAAAGTTAATTACTCCAACCAAGTTTTAATGATGGTTTATCAGGAGGTAGTAATTACCTTACTGACAAACGTATAGAATAACTTAGAATGCATGTTCTTTTAGTACAACTATACAAATAAAGTGTGGGAAATTTTGGTAATTTTAAATTTAAAGTTAATTAGATATGTGGCAAGGTCCCTCTATTCAGTATTTCCTGTTTGGAAGATTAACAAAAGAGCTTAATGGGTTTTTTCACCTGTTTGACAAACATGTTAAAGAGCAAATGACACTAGAGTTTCTACAGATATACTTCAACAATTCCCCCAAACCTTTGGTACTGTTGTGCTTGCACTTCAGTCTTAAGGTTTCTGCAGCCCATTTGATTCATTCCACTGAACCACATGACTTAAGTATAAAAATATAAAGTGAGGTAAAGAATGGAATGAATTCCTCTGGGAATTGTTCCAGGATTATCCCCAGGGCTTGTCCAAAGATTTGTCCCAAGGCTTGCCCGAGGGCTTTGCCGAGAGCCTGTCCCACAGCTTTTCCCAGAGCTTGTTTCTGGCCTTGCTCAAAGGCTTGCTCTGGGACTTGCTCCAAGCCTT